ATGGTCGACTGGCAGCCATCTTGTTTTTTGAAAATGTTGTATTTTGGACATGCTTTGCTAGTTTTGATTCAAATTTAGTACATAGATTATAAATGTCAGGATACATGTCCATGATGATTTATTTCACAATTGGATCAAAGATGGCCGACTGGCAGCCATCTTGTTTTTGAAAATGTCGTATTTTGGACATGCTTTGTCAGTTTTCATTCAAATTTAGTACATAGATCATACATATTAGGATACATGTCCCTGACCATCCATGAGTTCCTGAGTCTGTCCGTCCGACTGTCCGTGTGTCAGTCTGTCCGTGCGTCAGTCTATCCAACGTCATATTTCAGAATCCTGTGGTCCGATTCCGTTCATTCTTTGCATGTGCCTAGTACCTTATGTGGGACATATGCACATGCAGTGGTTTAGCGATCCGATTCAAAATGGCCGACTGGCAGCCATCTTGTTTTTTTTAAAATGTTGTATTTTGGACATGCTTTGTCAGTTGCCATTCAAACTTGGTACATATATTATACATGTTAGGATACATGTCCATGACGATTTATTTCGCAATTGGATCAAAGATGGTCGACTGGCAGGCATCTTGTTTTTGTTTTTGTTTTTCGCGGTATCTTGGACGTGCTCTGTCAGTTTTCATTCAAATTTGGCACATACATGTACTTTATACATGTTAGGATGCATGTCCATGACAATTTGTTTCAAAATCTGGTCAAGGATGGCCGATTGACAGCCATCTGACTTTTTGGCCTTACTACTATATTTCCACAATTTATGTACCATTTTCATTCGTATTTGGCACATACATCATACATATCAGTGTGTTTCATAATCAAAGATGGCTGAATAACGGCTGTTTTTATTTTAGCCATATTACTATGACACGAAACACGTGTTTTGATGTAAATAAACAATCTGTTGTATATGCCACTTGGAACTCAAATTTCAAGGACACGCTCGCGACAACCCCTCCGCTTTAATATGACGAGCACAAAGAGAACTTAACGGGGACTGTTTCATTTTCAATGACTTGTTTATTTGAAGATTTTGCATCAAATGAAGACATCAGTGACATGAAGAGCAATAAACCACATCACCTACATAAGTGACATCTTGGTATATTAAGCCATTAATTTATTTCTCAGCCGTTTTCATAAGCATAACATGTTCATCTGCTTAAAAAAACAATTGACAGAACAAGGTTTATTTAAGTATCAATAAATATTTATTATTCAAAAAAAATATGTTTGTCAATCACTAATTTACTGAAAATACTCTTATAAAAATAACAAAAGTATTTGACAGCTATTCATCAAAGTTTTAGAATTTTAATTTTTGTTGTTGCTAAGTCAACAGGGATATATGGCTACCTACTATTAGTTAATTGTGATGGTACTGTTTATCAAGATAGCACAAATATTCGAAAATGCCTGTTGAGAATCTTAGTTAAATAACAAATTGATGGATACTAAAGATACCTGGTGGATCTTTTCTCTGTGTGACCAAAGATATAAACTAAGACATTTTGCATCAAAAACACTGATTAAAAAATAGATGGAATCAATTCTGATCAGACATAGACAAGAACAATGAAGTCATCAATAATTATAAAAAAAAAGAACTGGTATGAAAAAAATTATAGTACAGCATCATGTCTAAGAAAATACTAATTAACATGTTAAATTAATCCATGTGCTGCATTAATCACATAACGTAAATTGTATGAAACTTGCAAAAAAAGTACACTGTGTTTGCAGCCTCTAAGCTGAGCTGTTAGCAATGCACATCAATAAATACAATATAGGTGATTAACATAAATATTATGTAAATTATGTAAATTATATAAATATATACTATCGACACGCTAATACTAGTAGTTTGTTTCTAAAACTGAATCCACAAACAACACATTCATCTGCCCTGGAGGATAATTGTTTCTGGGGTGTCACGTTCTCCCTGAAAAAAACAAACATGGAACACGATGAAATGATAGCGTTGTTGGCCCGATCTTAAGCATGCGCGTTGACGGTGACCAATCTGTCAACCGGGAGCAGTAGAAAAAGCATCCATACTTCATGAATTCTTAGCTTAGAAACGATCGACTAAAATGAATTTTCAAGTAAAGATCGTGATTGGGATAAAAACGACTTGATCCAGAGGCAAAAAACATTACTGGCACATGTAATTCACCTGCCA